AATAGAGCTTGGGATGTGGCTTAGTGGTGGAGTACTCCTAAATTCAATTCCAGGTACCCTCAACCACTCACCGCCCACCTGCTCCCCCCCCAAAAAAAAGAAAAGGTAAATGTGAGTTATGTGTTCTGTTTGTTTGGTTTTTGATACCAGAGATTGAATCCAGGAGTGCTTAAACACTGAGCTACATCCCAGCCTGTCTTTGTATTTTATTTTAGAGACAGAGTCTCACCACATTACTTAGGGCCCTGCTTTAGTTGCTGAGGCTGGCTCTGAACGAACAATCTTCCAGCCTCCGCCTCCAGAGTTCCTGGGATTACAGGCATGTGCCACAGCACTCAGTGTAAGATTTGTTACACCAGTTTCTAYAGTTCAAAACAGATTTAAAAGCTATTTTCTTTTGCAAAAGCAAACAATTTGTATTTAGTTGGATAACCAGATGGACCTGTAATTTCAGTTACTAAGTTCAGCCCTGGGGTCTCCTCTGTAGAACTTCCTATGCTGACTAACAATACTAATGAAAACTTATAGTTACACAGCAACTTATTTTGTACAAGAAACTGTTCTAGAATGCATTCATATAATCCACATAAGTACCAATTTGAGATAATACTAATATTATTCTCTTTTAGAGATACCAAAAATTGCTCAAGGTCACAGTTAATGAGTGGCAGAATCAGCATTCAAATGCTGGTGACCTGGCTCCATAATTTTTTGTACTTAATTAGATTCACACTGTACCCCTTCTATTATATTACAGAATAATTAGCTAGCTTCAGAATGAGAAATCAGCCTCAGGACTCTGGGATGTTAATACTGAGTTCTGTATCTATGACATCTTATCCTGAAAGAGTGGAAACAAGGATCAGAACCAAAACAAATCAAGAAGCAAGCTCAGAATTGGCCCCAGTTTATATTAAAACTCAACCGGTTATGACATTTAGTYTAAAAGCTGTGCACAATGTAGAGAAAGTATCAACAGACATTTAATGAGTTAATATGTTTATGAATCATCTCTGAATAAATATAATGAATTACATAAAAAAACCCTCAAAACTCAACTGGACCCTTAACTCGTCATCTATACTGTATATTAACCAGGAGAGCTGCCAGAACAATGGAACCTAAACCCAAACARATGGATTTATTAGATACTACTTTCCCTGACCTTTTCAAATGTGAAAACAATTTGGAGTTAGTGTATTAAATTATCCAAAATAGATCTTCAAAATGCATTGTTTTACATCCTTTTAAAAAACAATGGTTCTATAGGAAAAGCTTTTTTTTTTTCCATCCAAGTTTACCATTTGATGTTTCTAAAACTTTAAAACCTATTGGGTAGGCTTTCACTTCAGCTGAACATAATTCTGCCAAGAATTTGCAATTAATATCAATTAAAGCACAACTTCCTTTTAGAAAAATAAAACACCTGATACCATATTCCACCCAAGCATAAGCAAAATCTGATCACATAAACTTTAGGAAGCAGCCTGTCTTCAGTGTTGTAACTGCACTCTGTGACTGCTTTAGAAACCATAAGAACTACATATGGTCTTTCACTAGGATAATCCAACATCTCAACATAGAAGAATTTTTATTATGATCTACTTTGTTATAATTGGATTTCATTATACTAATAAAATGAATTCAACTAATAAGAATATGACTAATTGTGATTTCTGATCTACTTTAATAATAATAACATTAATGTTTGCAATAGTTAAAAGGCTTTCAATGGTTTTCTCACAAATAACATTAATGTTTGCAATAGTTAAAAGGCTTTCAATGGTTTTCTCACACACATGTTTCCTACTGTTTTATATCTTAGTATGTCCCAGAACATAGGGATTTAGAAGATAACATAAGACTAATATCTAGATGACATAATGAAGCAAAGTCAACTCTAACCAGTTTGCCTGYAGCAAAAGTTCATATTTCACTAGATTAATTAATCTTTATTAAAGAGACTTACATGAAAATGCCCAAACTACTAGGACATAATAATTTAAAGTGAAGAAGCTGAGAAGCACAATATCCACAATATTTTGTCTCACTGTATATTCACAGTAAATGTGTGTTGAGCTGAATTAAAATCTCTACGTTAGGGCTATGGATATAGCTCAGTTGGTAGAGGGCTTGCTTCGCATCCACAAGGCCCTGGGTTCAATCCCACACACCACACCACACACACACCAAAAAAAAAAAAAAAAAAAATCTATAAAAATAAACTATACTAGTCTTCATTATTTTTCATGATCAAGATTCTAAATAYTGAATCTAAATATTGAAGTAAATCTAACAGTCACTTCTTTAAGAAGTGGGTGAGGAATGAGGGTAAGATTAACCCTTTCAAAATAGTTTACCTCAGGATTACACTCACCCAGATTTCTACTCTCAGTTCTGATACACTTCACATTCTGTAGGGCTACTGTGATCAGTCATGTCACTAGACATTTCAAAAGAAACTGAGAGATCATTTTGGAAACACTGGAATCTGGAAGCCCTTAAGAAAATTAGCACATACATATACATAAATAAAGATCATTATTATTAAACAAGTGATTTATATTGTTAGGAAGTTAAGCTTAGTGTTTGTTTTTTTTTTAAACAAAGTCAAGAAACTCTCATTTATTTATACAACTACGGAAGGAAAACAGCCTTTCCTTTCCTAGTTATTTAAATTTTTTGGATTATGTAGGAAAGGAGCTGAGACAGGCATGCCACAGGAAAACAAACCAGCAGCACTCTGTTTTATGACATGTCCCCTAGGCTACTCATCGGTCAACTCCTTGAGGAAAGCCTTTGTCTGGGCATACCTCCGAAGCTCAGGGCATTTATTAAGTTTTGGGAATTTCCTCAGGTAGTAGAAACACAGAGATGAAAAAGGCATGATCCTTGCTCTCAAAAACTAAGTTAACGGACAGAATTAATTATTTTTAAAAAACTGTAACTCAGTGTGGCATAATGTGATGAATATTATACAAATGTATAAGCAAAAGAGTACAGCAAAATAGAGAAGAAACGACTACCTCCTGTTATCTAGAAAAATTACTCTTACATAGCTTGATTTGAACATTTAACAAACTTTGATTAGTAGGTTAAGATTCTAAGATGCCATTTTTTATAAGACTCTAAAGACAGAATCTGCAAATTAATAAGCCCCAAACACTTTCTGGGTATAAAAAGATTGAGGGAAGGGTTAAACTCTGAAAATGTTCCTTCAGTCTTTAATGGACTCCTTGGTGTTCTCAGGGTCCATCATAGGGACTGGAATTAGCAAATRCATTCCAGGTCAGCAGCAATCCTAAAGGATGTCTTTATTCCCCCCTCAAATCTCCATCAGCCTCCCCCCATCTTATCCTGAATAAGCATTTAATCTAAATAAAAAGGGGATGCCTGCTATGCAAATAGATTCAAGACAGGTCCCCTCGCATTAACCGACTGCCTAGTCAACATTTGGAAACCAYGAGCATTTCAAGCTTCTGATTTTAAGAGGTACCAGTAACTTCTCCCTCTTACAATGCTACTTGGCAGTTCATAGTGCTGCTTCTTCATATTAGATAAGCTCCTTTCGGTAAGCAAGAAGCATACATTTTTGGTACAATTACTCCTTCATTCTATAAAGATAGATATTTCCCTTCAATAAATTTAGGTGAAGACAGTTTTCCACTTGAAACATTTATTACATGTTAACGAATAAGAAAAGGAACAGTTGATAACTTGAAAAGAGTAACAAAGCAAGAAGTCCTTTTTTCTTTTTTTTTTTGGTAGTTGTTTAATTTGAAAAGTAACAATCTTAGAAGTGTCTCATGACTCCTTAAAGTAGCAGTAGAATCCTTTCTGATTTACATACAGTGCTGAAAAAAATTTATCCATGAAATTCTATACATAATTAAAGCTTTGTTAATAACATAATATTTAAAATTTTTTAATTGTTGTAAAAACAACATATAGCAAAGTTTACCATTTTAGCCATTACTAATTGTCCAGTTCTATAGTATGAAATATATTCATATTGTTGTGCAATCTCTAGAACTTCTACATCTCGAAAAACTGAAATTGACCCATTAAATAACTTCCCATTTCCCACTCCCTCCAGCTCCTGGAAACCACTCTTCTACTTTCTATTTCTACAAATTTTACTACTATAGGTAACTCAGTAAGTATACAGTRTTAGTCTTTTTTGTGACTGTCTTATTTCACTTAGTACAATGTCTAAAGGTTCCTATTGTAGCATCTGTCAAAATTTCCTTCCTTTTTAAGGCTGGATGATACTCCACTATATGTATATACTAAATTTTGTTTATCTATTTGCCATTGGACACTCTGGTTGTTTTCACTTCTTGAAAATAGTAAATAGTGCTGCTATGTATATGGGGGGTACAAAGAAGTCTTTGAGATTCTATTTTCAATTCCTTTGGACATAGATCCAGAAGAGGATTTGCTGGATTATACGGCAATTCTATTTTTTATGTTTTGAGGAAACTACACCCTGTTTTCCATTGTGGCTGCATTATTTTACACTCCAAGATAACTTTTGGAGRGAATTAAATGAGTTTTACCTAGAATTATTATTCTAATTAGAATTATAGTAAATTATTAGAATTAGAATCTTTATAAGAAATAGTATTTTGAGGAAAATTAACAACAAAAATTCATAGTTTTAGATTGTCTGAGACACAAAACCCTGCTTTACCAACCAGGTGGGAAAGGCACTGACTCAGATCCTGATGATAAGTGATAAGTGATAATATTTTCACTGTTCAGACACTTTGGCACTAGTTCAGAAACTTATTGATTTTAAAGATTATACACTACAGAATTCTTTCCGGCTATTTATTATCCTACTGGAGACAATACCAAATCAGTTTCATGTTAAGAAAAAAGTACTCTACAAATTAAAGATTTCAAGATTAAAAAAAAACCTTAAACACACACATACACACAAACATATACCCACACATATGTAGATTCGTATTATCAAAGATCACAAGAGAAATTACCTGATGGTTTCTTCATGATATAGAGAACTAACAACTGGCCCACCAAAACCACTATTTGCCTCTTTTCCTTTCTTCTCTGGTATCTGTGGGAGGGGAAAAAATGGAAAAAAGGCACACAGATTAAAACAAATTATATTTAAGCCAGTTGTAAAACATTAATTTGCTTAAGGAAATACCACAACTTCTATTCTCAACCATTTCTTCAAGTTATAAGAATAATTTTGAGGTGGTACCGGAAAAGCAACAGGATCCTCCGGTCAGCAACAGAATAGGTACCCACTGGTTATTTAGGGTCATTCAGTTTCACTTTTTGGAGTCACCTAAAAGCAATCCCCTACGTGACTATGGGATGACGTTCAATGTTGAAAACATGGATGTTTATGTGAAAGCATAAAAATGAAATATAAATACTAGACATGAACGTGATCAGGAAAATCATATCTAGATTTGTAAAATTAAAGTTTACAAACAAGAACTAAACTAAACTATGGTAAAATTTCAAATTCAATCATAAAGAAAATATTTTTAGGTAAAAAGAAAAAGTAGAGAAGGTAGAAGAAARAGGAAAAGAGGTTCAGATATATTTWWAAAAAAAAGAAAAAGAAAAAAAGAGCAAACTACCACGGAAACATTTTCTAAAATCAGCACACAGAAGTTCAATCCATGTTCTCATGATTAGCATCCCTGGCCTTCTTTACCACCACAGTGGACCAGGGACTGGGTAACTCAAATCTCTGATGGAACCAAGAACAGCCCTGGATTTCTGGTTTGGTCAKGTTGTTATCCAGGACAAGAATGGTGATTTACTAGTTCTTTACATGTCAGGGATGAAACAGTAAGCTCCATTATCTTTTTTTTTTTAAGAGATTTTAAAATGGGTGGGGGAGGGGGCTTTTTGTAGTTACCCATCTATTCAGAACTTCTATTACTTTTTATTCCTTTACAAAGGTCCAAATTTTCATTCTGAAGTTAYTTTCCTTTCACCTGAGGAAAGTTCTTTTAACATTTATTGTACTGCAAATCAAGCTTTTCTCTACTTCACAGGTTTTCACCAATGTAACTAACATCTTGACAAAGTTAAATCTTCTAATTCATGAAAACAATCTGTATTTCCACTTATTTAGGTTTTTGTTTTCAATATAGTTCTCAYTCTACAATCTTTCACTTCCTTGGTTACAATTATTCTTGAATATTTTATTCTTCATTATCTCTGTTTTGATTTGCCTGAAGTATTTTGCCCTCACTTTTTTTGTATTAACATGAGATTCATATAACATAAAATTAACTACTTGAAAGTGTATAAATGAGTAGCATTAACATATTGACAATGTTGTGCAACCACCACCCCTATCTAAGTGGGATATTCATCATCCCAAATAAACTCTGAACCCATAAGCAGTCTCCCCCCCCCATCCCCCAAACACTGAATCATCAATCTACCTTCTGTTTCTATGGATTTATCCATTCTGGATATTTCATATAAATGGAATCATGTATAATGTGATCTTTTACCTCTGGCTTCTCTTGCTTAGCATGTTTTTAAGGTTCATTTATATYATGGCATGTTCTTCATTCCTTTTTATGGTTGAGCAATATTCTATGCTACGTATATACTACTACCACATTCTATTTGTTCACTCATCAGTTGCTGGACATTTGGATTGTTTGCACTTTTTGCCTATAGTGAATAGTGCTGCCATGAACATCTTGTACAAGTATTAGAGCACCTGTTTTCTTTTTTTTTTTAAATGAGGTTGTGGCTTTTTTTTTTTTAAAGAGAGAGAGAGAGAGAGAGAGAGAGAGTGTGTGTGTGTGTATGACAGAGAGAGAGAGAGGGGGGGGGGGAGAATTTTTAATATTTATTTTTTAGTTCTCGGCGGACACAACAACTCTGTTGGTATGTGGTGCTGAGGTCGAACCTGGGCCGCACACATGCCAGGCGAGCGCGCTACTGCTTGAGCCACATCCCCAGCCCTAGAGCACCTGTTTTCAATTCTTTTGAGTACATATCTTAGGAGTGGAACTGCTGGATCAGATGGTACTAACTTTTTGAGGAACCACCAAACTTTTCCACAGTCACTGCAACATTTTACATCCCCTTCAATAATATAAGATGGTTTCTTCACATCCCCACCAACACTTATTGTTGTTTTTATAAAATTATGGTCATCCTACTGGGTATGAAATGGTATCACACTCTGGTTTTAAGACACCTCTCAAATGACTGATATTTCATATGATTATGGGCCATTCTTTTTGGAGAAATATCTATTTACATCCTCTACCCAGTCATTAGTTGGCTTGCCTTTGGGGAGTTTTAAGAGTTACTTACATGTTCTGGATATTAGATCCTTGTTGAATATACAATCTGCAAATATTCTTCCCATTTCTTTTCACTTTCTTGACAGAGTCTTCTTAACAAAAGTTTTTAATATCTATGTAATCTTATTTGTTAATCCTTTCTTTTGTTGCTTGAGCTTATGCCGTCATATCTAAGCAGCCAGGGTCAAATCCAAGGTTATTAAGATCTACTCRTATGATTTCTTCAAAGACTTTTATAATTGTAATTTTATTAATTAAGCTGAGGATCCATTTTGAGCTAATTTTATGTATATGTTATATGACAGGAATGCATCTTCATTCTTTTGCAAGTGGATATCCAATTGTTCCTACATTGTTAAAGAGATTATTCTTTCCCCAATGAATGGTTCTGGTACCACCCTTACTGACCATAAACTTGAGAGTATATTTCTAAACTCTCAATTCTATTCCATTGGTCTATATGTTTACCCCCCTGCCATTTCCACACTACTTAACTGTGGCTTCGAAGCTTCCAATTTTTTTTTTTTTCAATACTGTTTTGGCTATTTGACACCCTTTGTAATTCCATATGAAGATTAGCTTTTCTATTTCTGGAAAAAAGAAAAGATGGGTAGATTTTGATAGCACTGAATCCACACAGATTTGGGCTTAACTAACATCTTGACAAAATTAAATCTTCCAATTCATGAACACATATGTATTTCCACTTATTTAGGTTTTTGTTATCAATATAGTTTTCACTATACAATCTTTCACCTCCCTGGTTAAAATTATTCTTGAGTATTTTATTCTTTTGTGCCACTATAAATGGAAATATTTATCTTCATTTCCATTACTGGAGAGTCCACTGCTGGTGTATAAAAACACACTAATTTGTGTATGTTGTTCTAATATCTTGCAAATTTGCTAAATTAGTCATCAACTCTAGTAGTTTGTGAATTATCTGAATTTTCTATATATAGGATCATGTCATCTGCGAACAGATAGTTTTTACTTTTGCCTTTCCAATTTGGATGATATTTAATTATTTTCTTAGCTCGAATTTACAGTAAAATATTGGGTTCAATGGTGAAACCAAGAACTTATTGCTAATCTTAGGTAGAAAGGTTTGAATCTTTCAACACAGAGTACAATGCCACCTCTGAGTTTTTCCATATAGGCCCATTATCACATTAAACAAATTTCACTTTCATTTTTGAAAGCTATTGTGACTGGGTAGAAGATAACAGACTGATAGTCTTTTCCTTATGATGTCAACCTGTTGACCTCAGACCTCTGTAAAGAAATCTGGTGTAGTTCTACTTTTGTTCCTGTCTTTTTTTTTTTTTTGGTCTGGTTGCTTTCAAGCTTTTCTCTATTTCACAGGTTTTCCCCCATGTAATGATGATGATGTGGTGTTGGTATATGGTTTCATTATGTTTCTTTCTTTTTAAAATTTTTTATTTATATATGACAGTGGAATGCATTACAATTCTTATTATACATATAGAGCACAATTTTTCATATCTCTGGTTGTAYACATAGTATATTCACACCAATTCATGTCTTCATACCTGTACTTTGGATAATAATGATCATCACATTCCACCATCATTAATAATCCCCTGCCCCCTCCCTTCCCCTCCAACACCTCTGCCCTATCTAGAATTCATCTACTCCTCCCATGCTCCCTCTCCCTATGCTTGGGGTTCAGTGAAGCTTCTTGGATCCATGGGATTTTAGCAGGGATTCTCAACAAGGAGAAACTTTTAGTCCTCCCCTGCCAACCCTCCAGCATCGCTGCCACCTCCCCACCCTAGACATTTGGCAATATCTAGGGAAGTTTTTGTTGTTACAACTAGGCAGCACTATTGGCATTTAGTGAATCAGAACCAGGGTTGCTGCTAAATGTCATATTTTGCAAAGAATAGCCCTCTACAGCATTGAATTTTCTGACCCAAAATAGCAATGTTTCAAGATTGAAAAACTCTGGTGTATAGTTTTTAGCAATGTTTAGAATTTATGATATTATTCATTATTATTAGTTTTTGTTTTCTCCTCTGTCTTTCTGGAATTCCAAATATATGCTACATTGCTTGATATTTTCCCATAGCTTACTGGATTTTCTTCATTTCTTGATTAGTCTTTTTATGCTCTGTACCTCATTTTGATTAGTTTCACTTCAAGTTCACTGATCTTCTCTAAGCAAGGCCAAAATGCTGTTGTTAATCCTCTCATATATTTTTCACTTCAGATAATGTATTTTTCCAACTCCAGAATTTTCAGTTTGGGTTTTTTAATCTTCCACTTCTCTGTATTTCGCTCATGTTTTCACCCACTTTCTAGAACAAATAAGAATGTATTTATCGTAAGTGTCTTCATGTCTTTGGTATTTCATCATCTTTTCAATTTGGCATCTGCATTTATGAATAGGTTGTTCTCCTGTGTCATATTTTCCTGCCCCCCCTTTCCTGCTTAAAAGACTGTCAGCCAGGCATTGTATATTTTCAACAATGCTTTCTGGATTTTTCTGTGTTCCTTTAAATTATATTGGCCTTTATTTTGGCATAAATTCCTTGGTATCAGTCTGATCCTTTGGAATCTCATTTTTAAGCTCTGTTAAGGCAGAAGAGCAGTCTTTAGTGTAGGGCTTAATTTAGCACTTACTACTAAGGTGAAACCTTTCTGAGACCTCTACCATACATCCCATATATTTTTTTGCACTCTGACTTATAGAAACAAAATATGCTATATCAGTTCCAGGAATTGTGCAACCTACTGC